ATCCCATCTGCCGCTTCCGATGGGCTCAGCACGGGGTGAAAAAGAGTTCGAGAACTGTCCCCTTGCAGTGGCCAGAGGACAGCCCCGTGGTCTCGGCTGCGAGCCCAAGGTTAGACTCTGGAGGGGGTGGGTTCCAGGGGAGGCGTGGAAAATTCTACTTTACATCTCTCCATCCGAGTCGTGAAGTGGGTTTCTGGCATCATTTCCTCAACAGCCTCTGCATCGGGGGGCCGAGTCCCTGGCAAGAGTTCCAGGGTGCTCCGAAGACAGCACGCACTTCCTGCGCAGGGCAGTGGCCGCGGGGGAGGCGTGGGGCGGGCGTGCAGCTGAGGGCGTGGAAAGGCTCTTGAAATATATGAGAGCAGAGGGAAGGGGCCGCCACCACCGAGGCATCGGGCTCCCGAGTACTGGGACGAGGCGCTCAGGAGAGGGTAAAGAATGAGAAGAGCCACCACGTGGGAGCACGTTGGAAGCAGATGCTTTAGTGACAGTTAATCCTCAGGGAGATGCTTACCGTGTGCCAGGCACCATTCCACAAACTTCCTCCCAGCACCCCCATTAGGGAGGTACCATTTTTAGCCCCATTCAAAGGAAGGGAGACAGAGGCACAGGGAGGGTGAGTAGCCTGCCCGAGGTGGCACAGCGGGGAGGTGGGATTCGAATCCACTTTCTGGCTATCCCACCCGGGCAAGTTACTCAAGCCAAGTCTGGTTCCAGAGCCGGTGCTCTTAACCATGTCCTTGCAGAAGTATGGCCAACCTGCCTGACAGCGCTGCTATTTCACACAAGAGACTGTCCCCGGGGAGCTGAATCACCCGCCCAGTGCACAGCTGGTCTGTGTTGGACCAAGATGCAAACGTGGGTCTCACCTTGGCCCAGGCTCCACCTGGCCGCAAGGTCCAGCGGCCTTCAACAACTTTGGCTGTTGTCTAAGGACTGTGGTTGACCAATGTACCTCTCGCTCATTTTCAAATTGACGCCAGAAGGGTTCACTGTTAGTTTAAATGGTTGTGAGTGATATATTTTCCAGCGTGTGCTAAATGTTGACATGTGAAAGCAAAACCGTTGTGGGCCTCCTTACCAGCATCCAGTGGAATCTAGACGGTGATTCATACTCATCATCATCTATTGTTTAAAGGAATCCGTGAACAAGATCTTTAACAGACGGGATTTTCCCTCCTATTTCCAGCCCCCTTTCCCCACAGAGCTTCATCCTAATGTGACATTTTGTGCTTCACCTGATCATATTGTGCAGCAATTTGACTCTGGAGCTCCAAGTCTCTAAAAAGGGTTTCTTCTGGCTTGAGTTATCACTCAAGCAATGATTTTTAGTACACGATTGGTCAAACGACGTAAACGAAACATTTTTGTTAAATAATTGTTTAGGAGAAAAAGTAAAGATTTGTTGGAAAGGCTTCTCTTAATGGGATGGATGGGACTTACAGTTCATGGATAAATATTATTTATTGGTGGAATGAAACTATCAACAGATTCTATATCAATTCTAGTTCTATTTTCCATTTTCATAGCAGTAAACACTAAGAGACCTCGTTTACATTAATAAATAGGTGGGAACAGAAAGAGCTTCATTATAGAAATGCCACTCAACCCTTCAAAATCCTTCTGAGCTACACGTTAAAAAAAAGAAATCACAATAATCTGTCAACAAAATTACTGTTAATGCTGTCAGCTGATGCCCCAATTACTTTTTCCATTTTGTGGAAAGCAAACAATTGACTATCATCTGGCTTGTCAACAAATTTGCCACCTAGTCATTGAGGTGACTGGCTTCCTCAACTGCTGACAGTATTCTGAACTGTCCCTGTGTTTGGCATCCTAGAGGCATTTACTTCTGAAGCAGCCCACCACGGTGAGATTCCGGGCAGGGGAAAGGTAAGAGAGCAGACGGGTGGCTGTGGATGGAACAGAGAGGGTGAGAAACCAGCCCCTCATCACAGGACATTTTTAGGCAAACCGATTAATGGAAGGAGTGGAGGGCTTGGAAACTGTTCTCCTCAGATCTAACCATTTCCTGCACTGTGGACAGTCTCTGTGACCCCCAGAAGAACAGCCCTAGGCCTCCGTCCCTCCAGGAGGGGGACATGCCCGGCCTGCTCAGCCTGGCAGGGGTCACTCCAGCCCTGGCATCACCCCGTCTACCCATCTGTATAACAGCCCCTGTGCTCTCATGCACTGCAGGAGACAGGGGTTGGGGGTGGTACCATGAGGATGCTGTTAGCCTGTGATCCCACACAGAAGGCGTCTCTAGGGGTAAAAGTGAGGCTGGTGGGATGCGCCACCCTGCCCCCCACCCCAGCGTGTGAGAAATCCCCTCTGCCGTCACCTTGAGCACGGAATCCAAGCTGTGTTTCCAGTAACCCAGGATCAATTTTCTCACGGCCCAGAAGTAAACTGGGCCTGGGATGGGGGTGGGGATGTCTCAGAAGTCATTAGTCAAGGCTGAGTCCAGGGGCTGGAAACCAGTTAGGGCCTTGTAGCAAGGCAAAGACAAAAGCCAAGCTTGCCTTGGCCTCAGAAGACGGGGCTCTGGGCTCTGCACGCCTCCAATGGCCTCTGGGGCCTCAGACAAGTCCCAGGCCCTCTCTGGGCACCAGATGGGCTCCCCGTCCCTTCCAGCTCCAACACTCCGGTTCCAACACTCTGGTTCCAGCACTCTGGCCCAAGCAAGACCATGCCTGGGTGAGAGGTTGCCGGCCAGAGTCAGGTGAGGAGGGGTGAGGGCAAGAAGTGGGTCACAGGCCAAAAAGACACGCCACAACCAGAAGAGGTCACACCCGCACACAGAGGCAGCCTGAGTGTGCAGCGTGGGGCAACGGAATGCAACCAACTCGATATATATACTTGTTCACGGGGACAGGGCTTCAGTTTGGGAAGATGAAAAACGTTCAAGAGACGGATGGTGGTGATGGTTGCACAACAATGTGAATGTCCTTCATGCCACTGACCTGTACACTTAAAACTGCTTAAAATGGTAAATTTTATCTTATGTTTATTTTACCACAATTTTAAAAAGCCTCCAAAACCTCAATATCAATGTAGAAATCCTCTCCCTCAAAACCCAGCTCCAAGTCAGAGCTGCCCAGGAGAAACCTGCCCAGGAGAAACCTGCAGTGCCAGTGTCCGAGTCTCATCTGTGGTCACCTGTCATCCATCATCTGGCTGGGAAGGGCGGGCGCTGGGACAATGCTGGGCATTTTCTGTGTTGGGTTTTCTCTGTGTTTGCTCGGCCTTGGAGTTCTCTTCCTGGCCAGGTGCATACTGATCTCAACCCTGGGTGCCTACAAACTGTCTTACCTACTCGTCTGCTGGTAGAGGATACTCTCAGATCCGTGAACATGGGACTCAGGGAGCCTAGGCTTCCCCAGCTGTGAAGTGATGAGCTGTGGCCAGAGGAGCCCAGAGCTCCCGCCCCTGCCCCTTACCAACAAGCTCAGAATTCTAATTATCTGTATCCACCTGTTCGTCTCAAGTACCTCTTTATCCTTCCCTGCCAAGAAGATGAGAGCAGTGAAGGCAGCGGTGCGCTGGCAGTTTTCACCAGCTCCCGGGAGCCAGCTGAGCATATCACATCCCAATCCCACACTGGCCTGAAGTCAGCCACGGTGGGTGCATTTACACCACAGAAATTGGCAAACGCGACCTGTCAGGGAGTTCCCCCCAGAGAGCTGGAAGTCAAACAGTGGAGAGCATACCACTGGGTGTAAGTATTAAAATAAATTATTACAACTGATGGCCATCCCCTTTCAAGACTTGCTGGAGGACACTGCCTTCCCCGAATCTCAAAGGCTCAGAGAGACTCAAAATTCCCTCTCCAGAGACGTTCCATTCTGCAGTGACTGCCCAGAGAAGTCAGCCCTCGGCTGGCCTGTGCAGACTAACCACCACCAGGAGTCCCCGACCTGAAGGCGCTCAGCCTGGGCCACATACCTAGTTCTCCCAGAAAGACCCACCCCCTGCAGGACAGCCTCCCCCAACACTCCGTACCCAAGTTCAGTCCATGTTCATTCTCTCATGTAAGCCCCTTCAGAACTATGTAAGATAGACTTGAGGCAGTTTTCCTGCTTTTAGAGGAAATTAGAGATTAAATTAACTCAGGTCAGTCTGTTGAGAAGCCGAAACTAGATTTGAGGAGGGCTGTCTGGCGGAAGGTTTACAGGACGGGCATGTACAGTTTCACAGGCTGTGCACTGCACAACTCCAGGAGACACAATTTAGAGACCTCAATTTCTTCAACCCCTGAGGCTATGAAATAGGGAGGCCTTGAGAGCTTAGGTGAAAAGGGAGTTAAATCTCTAGAATCATTGGGATAAATTCTTTCCATAACTGTACTCTCACTTTCTATGCTTTGTACTGTGTATGTGTCAGGAAGCCCAGCTCCGGAGCTTATTGCGGGGGCTCCACCCCCTTCCTGCTGCCATTTCAGAGAGGAAGGAGGGGCTTTGGCTCTCCACGAAAATCTACGAACCTGTATATGTTTCTTAATTTCTAACATAAAAGGCTGTTTTCACTGAGGTAGACTGAAACTGAACAACTGCCCCAAGTTAAGAGCCTGAGGGGAAGTCTCTCTCTTTGTACAGAGACCTTCAGCCTAAGAAAATCAAAAGGGGCGGCCAACTCCCACTCGGGCTGGTTGTCTCGGTAGCAAGTGAAAGTTGGAATTTCACTCTGTGCTGCTGACACCCTCCACAGGTGGGGAAAAAAACAAAACAGACCATAGTCCTGGGGTGGGGACTTGCAGTGGGAAAAGAAATTCAAGTTAAAGCCAAAGACTCCTCAGTGTAGCCAAAGGGAATTTGAAAAACTCGATAACAAGGCCCAATCCTTCCATCCTTCAGATACCCTGGGCACTTTCAGAAATGTGTTGAGAAAGGCCAGATAATCCTGACATTCCAAAAGTCAAACGCATTCTCACCAAGCAGGGAGCCTTCACAGCCCACCCTGCAGGGTGACACTGGTGGGCAGGGCTGAGGGTATTTAGAGGACACCAGAAATGGGGGCTGGGGACCACAGGTTGTGCTCACTCACCCCTCAGGGGAGGGTGGAGGGCTGCAGGCGGGGAGGAGGGCCTTGTCCAGGGCAGCCTTAGGAGTTGGTCACCTCTCTCCACTCGCTGCCCGGGGATGAGCCTGCTGCAGCTGGGCACCCGCAGACACCTTGGCTCACTCTGACAATGTCTCTGGGGGCTGCCACCCTTCCCAGTTAGGACCAGTTCCCTGGACCTGATCTCAAATCATAGCCCAGGAAGAAAAGCTTTGCCTTGAGATATGGGGAAGGTACTGCTTTCCTGGCCTTGAAATCTCAGCCTTTCTGTTCCTTCCAGGACAGGACAGCCTGGTGGTTGAAGGAAGCCCCTGCAGCCAGAAAGCAAGAGTTTAAAACCCAGTCACCACTTGGGGACTGCCCAACTTTGGGCTAGTGACATATGAGAAATGGACCATTAATTTATGTACAAGAAGAGTGTTGCCAAGTATAACTAGGATGCCAACAACTGTAACATATCTTAAATGTCCAGGTGTTGTAATATAAAAAATGTGTCACAGAATAGATGAAATACAACTCTTAAGCTGTCTGCCAGTAACAGTCCCTACCTCATAGGTTGTTGGGAGAGCTGAGTTAATAAATTAAAACACTTAGAACAGTGCTAGCACAGAGTAAGCACCATGTAAGGTTAGCTGTCATCCTCATATCCTCATGACTGAGGAAAGGCCACAGGAATTTTTCAAAACCTCAGAAAAAAAACTGCTGCAGGGGAAAAAATCTATAGAAACCCTTGGCAGGCAGCACATCTTCATGAAAAAAGCAAGGGTCTGGAGGCAGCTGGATCCAGGTTTGAATCCTACCTAAGCTTCTTAGGCAAGTTTCTTTTACCCTCTCAGTCTGTTTCCCTTACTGAAAACGAGGATAAAGATACCGTATCACACTGACTTGTTTTTAGGATTAAAGAATCTAATGTATACTTAGCCATTGGCACAAAATAGACATTGAATTTTGTCACGAGGGTACCGAATGCTTTTCCTAAACACTGTTGGGGGATGATCAATGCCATCATCATAGTTCAGAAAAAAACCATCCCACTAAAGAAAAGACCAGAAAAGTAATGGCAAACAACAGGGCCGTTCTGTCAGCTTTCAAAATCCTCAATCCAGGAAAACAGCTGCTCCGTGGATGTGGAGATGCATGCGCTCAGCTCGGGAAGAGCCTGCGTTTGGTGAACTCACAGCCTGCTCTGGTCTTGGCCCCATAAGCCCTCAGAGACACTCAGCTGTAAATTAGGCAGCCGAGAGGGGGGGAAGCACATGGGGCTGCAGCCCCAGAAGTGCACCAGGGCTCCCAAGAGGTCTAGGAGCACAGAGGTGAGCCAGGGGTCCCACACGGAGGTGGTGGCACCCCACCCCGGCCTACGGCTCCGCCCCTCGAGTGTCAGACCGAGCAGGATGCCCACTTGCTCCTGTAATTCTCTGTCCCTTCTAGTCACACTACGCAGCCCAGTTCTGAAGGTCTTTGCCTTGCTCTCACTCACACCCACCCTTGGTGCCCGACGGCCAGGTGCTGGTGGCTTTTCTCTCCTTGCCAACAATGCGCCGTCCCAGCCCCTCTCCCTCAAGACACACGCAGCAAGTCCAGGGGCTCCGGGCCTCTGACCGCCACCCCATCTGGAACACAGATCTCTTGTAAACAACAAACAAGCCCCTGGGTTGAGCCCTCCACCTCCAGACCAGGCTGGAAAACCTTAGATCCTGGTGGGCACGCGATGAAGGTGAGCCTCCTCTGCATCCAGGGCAGAAAGCAGCACTGATAGGACCAGGCTGCGCTCACCTGGACCTCCTGCCCAGAGGAGCTGGCTCAGCAAAAGAAACATTTTAAAGGATGATAACAGTTAAAATAAAACGCCTAAATCCCACAGTTTTTCCACACTAACGTAAGAGAGGCTCTGTCCAGCACCAGAAATCTATCTAGCCGTGGGGGGGGGGGGG